TTTGGAGTTGCTTAACTTTTTATTAAATTTCATTCCCCTTTTTTGTCCATGTATGAAAACAGCCTTATGTATTTTTTTGTATTTATTATGGGGTTTTATCTGTTGCGGACAGCAAATACTGGACGCACGGCTTCATTATTCGAAAGGCCATGGACGCGCTCAATTCTTTTTTACTCAACTTAATAAATTATTACTTGAGTTTGTATAGCATACCATTTAGCGAATTTTGCTATCTAATCTTTTAAATTGACTTACGGTTCATAAGTTTTCGGAATTTAAAGTGATTGTGGTATTTTCTTTTTTTTATTGAACCTATCAACTTATGAATTATTTTTCGAAATTGTAAATTTGTCGGAAGGCTCTTTCTGTCTGGTTTAAATATTTGAATTTAGGCCAGTATCAATTCGTAATTTATCTGCTTCTATTTGGTGTTGTGGAGACAAGGGAAGTAGTGCGAGAATGTGCCTGGTCAAGCTAAACTACTAGCACTATCTGACCTGACAAGCCCACGGCTCCAGTTGTTTACAGAAAGCGGTGCCACTCGGAAATAAAGATGACTTCATGGACAAATGGAGGTGGACATCAAATTCCCTGTGAATAAAATTAATCACAACAAAATAGTTGTTCAATGCATAGGACAAATTTTTTCCTACAGGGAAAGTTTAATACAGCCACACTGATCTGGCGATTGCAGAGTGATCCGGGTGTCTAGCTACAGTCACAACCTTTCTCAATAACGGGCGAAATCAGATTCTTCTTTTGGATAGGGGTCAACAGAAAGCTTAATGTACTTGGTGGATCAGTTTGTGCACTCCAAAGTTTATCAATTCCGTAGACAAGGGACAAAATTCGCCTAGCATTAGAGTAAACAAACATTTTAATTTTTTTCATGACTAACTTATTATTATTATGTCTCTGGAAGGAAACAGTTTAGCCCTGGCCTCAAATAAAACATTGCTAGCGTTGCATTAGCAGGGTTGCATAAATTAAACATGTTACCTCAGGCGACAGGTGTTGCTAGGATCGGGTGAGGTGAAATGAAATCAAGCCTTTATAATTAAATTGTCCCAACCTTTGGTTGAATTAACCGTGAGGTCACTCGCTGGCGGGACATTCACCCTCAAATAAAAGCATCAATAAAGCGGTTTTGAAGGAAGAATAAATTCGCACTATCAGGTAGGGCTCAGTATGAGCGAAAAAGTAGTGTCTGAGTTTGGATATGTGTGTTGATTTTTTTAGAACCTTTCGGTCTAATCACGATCACCTTTAGTCTCTGGCGTATCAGAAGGGCTTCAGCGATAATGCAGGCGCGGTAAGGGAGTCAATAGCACGCTCACGAGCCCACCGACGAACTTCTGCGTCAATACGCCGCAAAAAGGTGGCCTCGACTGTGGCTGACTGATTCACTGCTGGAGAGGTATTAACCTTAACGACAATCTTCAGTCCTACGTGATGTCCAAGGAATAGCTCAATATCAGGCTTAGCGGAATGGATGCCGTAATGCCTTAAAGATGATGGATAATTGCACCATTTGAAGCCTCGAGGCTTTAAAAAGAAGGAAAACCAGATAAAACTGATGTGGTTTTATAATAGCGTCCGTTGTTTCACACTTTACTATGTTTTCTTACTAAAAGTGATTAGAACACGAAATATGCTTACTGAAAAGCATTTAACCGCAACCACTTGCAGTCAAGCCTCAGTTATGTTGATCGTGGACTTGAATACTTTCCCTTGGTAATTGAATGTCGTGACTTCTCGTACCCAATTCGGTTCAAATGGCTTCTGGGGCAAAACGCTCTAAGAAACCGCAACTGTATGTCTACTTTGGAATTAAAAAGTAGCATGTGCAATCGCCCCTGTAAATTTGATTGAGATTTGATGTTAAAATATTGTATTTATGTGCTTTTTTGTGTTCAACTGGCAAAATGGAGTTCCGCTATTACACTACAACTTTCGAATTAATTCACTTATTAATGAAAGGAGATCATTGTCTGGGAAAGGCAAAGCTGATTAAATAATCCCAAACGAATTTCAACTTTTTATCATGTTAAACCAAACCATTTCAGTAAATTGGAACCAATTCAGAGCGATATGTTAACTTTTCAACTTCGGAATGATTCAGAATGCCTCATTAAACTCTGTAAATGCAAGTTATTCTGTCCGAAAAAAACCCAAAGAGAATGCAACACCTTTTATTTGGCTATCGAATACACATGAACACTTTGAATAATTAATGAAAAAAATATTTAAACATGATTCCCACATTTGACAGAAAACTACTGGTCATTCATCAGGCTATCCATCAAATGCTTCCATTTCCAAATGAATTAGTGTTCAAAGTTATGTGTAAGTAAGGTAAAATGGATTGAGTTTTCAGGATGAACACTGGATAAATAATTCAAATGAAATTGGGCTTGTATCGCCAAATGTGCCATTTTAGGTCCAAATTGGGCCTTCTGAATGTGCCAAGGGTTAAACGCAGAAGTGAAGGACAAACGCGTCCCATCAATGACATCTGACACACACGTATGCAGAGCGCGAATTCGCACACCATTAATCAGAGTGCCGAACGATGGCAGTTGTGTACGTAAAAAAAAACACCACGCAGTGGTTAATTTTTCTTTTAGGCAAGTCCCACAGTCCTTGAATATCCACCTGTGCAAGAGAATTTCATGACCCATTTGCATGATAATAAAATTCGCAGTCCCAACAGTAAAACATTTGAGTGGTATAAGCGTTCCGAAGACGGCTCCAGAAATCCACCCTCAGTGACGGTTTCGTTTCTGATCCATGGTACAGCAGTCAGCCCGTGAACATTTGGTCAGCGCAAGGAACATCTGAGCCAAGACGCCCGACCGCCGTAGAACTAGTCATGGAATTGACCAAGAGTTTGAGGAAAGTTTGCGCAAACTTTCTGCATAGTTTAGTTGTACGGGAAATCACGTTATCTTACTAAAACGCTCTGTAACAAAGCTTATCAGGCATTCATAATTATCAGGAAGGCGGATTATTTGTAATCAGTGCGATTTTTTTTCATTTTACATAATAAATGGTGATAAAAACAACAGAAAGAATGTTTAACACTTTAATGGTCAGCATGGC